CCCTAAAACCGAGGGGGACCCCAAATTGAGCCCTAAAAGGGAGGGGGGGACCCCAAATTGAGCCCCAAAACCGAGGGGGACCCCAAATTGAGCCCCAAAACCGAGGGGGACCCCAAACTCGAGCCCTGCCCCCAGGCCCAGCGGAACAACGAGGACGTCTCGCGGATCCGGCCGCTCTTCACCGTCAACGTCGACCACAGGGTGGGTTTGGGGGGGTTTTTGGGGGGACCCCCCAAATTTCGGGGGGTTTGGGGGATCCCCCACCCACTTTGGGGGGGCTGGAGGGGCCCTGTGGCATTTTGGGGGGAATTTGAGGGGATTTGGGGCTGTTGAAGGGTCCTGGGTGGGGGTGGTGGCTGTGAGAGGTGAGTTTGGGGTGACTCAAGGATTTTTGGGGGGATTTTGGGGGGGTCCCACTGGAATTTTGGGGTTTTCCAGGACTTTTAGGGGATCCCATTAGGATTTTGGGGGGGTCCCACTGGAATTTTGGGTTATTTCAGGATTTCTGGGGACTCACATTGGGATTTGGGGGGGGTCCCACTGGAATTTTGGGTTATTTCAGGATTTTTGGGGGGGTGTCCCTCTGGGATTTTGGGGTATTTCAGGATTTTTGGGGGATCCCATTGAGATTTTGGGGGGTCCCTCTGGGATTTTGGGTTATTCCAGGATTTTTAGGGGACCCCATTAGGATTTTTGGGGGGGGTCCAGGATTTTTGGGGTGTCCCAAACCTTTCAAATCCATCCCCGAGCCTTCAGGATTTCCTTTTTTTTTTGGGGTGAAATGTGGGAATTTCCCATCTGCGGGTGGGATTTTGGGGAGCTCCGGAGCCCTGCGGGGTTTGGGGGTTTTGGGGTGTCCCAGGGGGGTTTTTGGGGTGCTCTGGTGACCCCAAATTCCTCACAGGGGGCCTGGAACGGGCCCTGGGTGTCCACGGAGGTGGTGGCGGCTGCCATCGGGCTCGTGGTTTATTACCTGGCCTTCAGCACCAAGAGCAGCATCCAGGCCTAAAAAACCCTAAAAATACCCCAAAAAAACCCCAAATGTTTTTTGTTTTACAACAAAAAAAAATACATCCCCAAACAACCCCAAAAACCAACCCATAACCCCGATAAACCCTAATAAAAAACCAAAAAACGCCCCAAAGCTCTTGTGTTCTACGGCAAAAATAACTCATCCCAAAAACCAACCTATCCCCCCAGAAAAAACTTAAAAAACCCAAAAAAACACCCCAAAACCTTTCTGTTCTACAGCAAAACCAACTCATCCCAAAAACCTATTTATCTCCCCAAAAAAACCCTAAAAAAACCCCAAAAACCATCCCCAAACTCCTCCTGTCTTACAGCAAAAAAACCCATCCCAAAAGAACCCCAAAAACCACTAAAAAAATCCCAAAAAACACCCCCAAACTCCTCCTGTCCTACAGCAAAAAAACCCATCCCAAAACAACCCCAAAAACCACGCCAAAAAAACCCCACCCAAAAAAAAAACCCCCAAAATAGCCCCACCCCCCTAAAAAACCCAAAACCACCCCAAAAAACCCCAAAACCAGCCCAAAAAACCCCAAAACCAGCCCCACCCCTCATAAAAAAACCCAAAAAACCCAACCCCCCCCTCAAATCCACCCTCAGCCCAAATTCCCGCGCCCCAAAAGGGAATCCAGGGGTGACCCCCAAATTTGGGGAGTGGGGAAAGAGCAGAGACCCCAAATTTGGGGTTGGGGCAGGAGCAGAGACCCCAAAATCCCAAATTTGGGGAGTGGGGAAAGAGCAGAGACCCCAAAATCCCAAATTTGGGGGATGGGGCAAGAGCAGAGACCCCAAAATCCCAAATTTGGGGTTGGGGCAAGAACAGAGACCCCAAAATCCCAAATTTGGGGAGTGGGGAAAGAGCAGAGACCCCAAAATCCCAAATTTGGGGGATGGGGAAAGAGCAGAGACCCCAAANCAAATTTGGGGAGTGGGGAAAGAGCAGAGACCCCAAAATCCCAAATTTGGGGGATGGGGAAAGAGCAGAGACCCCAAAATCCCAAATTTGGGGAGGGGGTTGGGGTTGGTTTGTTCTGGGGGGGGTCCCCAAATATCCCCCCCGTACCCCAATAAAAGTGTCCCCCCAAACTGGGGGTCTGGAGGGGGCGTCTGTCCCCAAATTCCCCCCAAATTTTGGGGGATTTTCCTCTTCTTCGGAGCTTCCCTGCCCTGATGACGTCAGAGCCGCCCCTCGGTGACGTCACCACGAGGTGGGTGTGGTTTGGGGGGTCCCGGGGGGGATTTTTTTGGGGGGGAGCCCTTGGGAAGGGGTGTGGGGGGGAAATTTTCCAAGAATTTTGGGGAACTTTTGGGAATTTCCCGGAATTCCAAGGCCGGGATTGCCGGGAATGGGAGGAGGGGGAGGGGCAGAGCTCCAAACCCCGCCCCTCCCCCACCCTCCCCTCCCCCCAAACACGGGGGGGGGGTCCCCAAAATCCCAAAAAATTTGGGGTGAGGAGAGATCCCATTCCCCCTACATTGGGAATTTGGGGAGGGGGGTTCTGCTCCCTCAAATTTTGGGGGTCATTTCCCTTCCCCCCCCAATTTTTGGGGATCATTTCTTCCCCCCCCCTCCAAATTTTGGGGGTCATTCCTCTACCCCCCCAATTTTTGGGGGTCATTTCCCCTCCCTCCTCCAATTTTTGGGGGCTTTTCGACTCTAAGGTGACCCAAATAAATTTTGGGGGGTGGTCCCAGGTATTTTGGGGGGGGGGTCCTCAAACATTTGGGGATTTCTCTCCCCCTCCCCAAATACAGATCCCAAAACCCCATGGGGGAGGTTTGGGGGGGTCCCTTGGTCCCCTAAACCGGGGGGTCTCACCCCAAAATGGGGACCCCAAAACCCCTGGGGGGACCTTTGGGGGTCTTTCCCCCCTAAATTGGAGGTCTCACCCCCCAATTGACCCCCAAAACCCCCCCTCGGGGGTCCCTTCCCCCCCCAAATTGGGGTCTCACCCCCAAATCGAGACCCCAAATCTCCCCTCTGGGGTCCCTTTCCCCCCCAAATCGGGGGTCTCACCCCCAAATCGCGCCGCCCCCGCCCCTCCTCAGGGGTCTTCCCCCCCAAATCGGGGTCTCAACCCCGAATCGCAACCCGAACCCCCCAAATCGGGGGTCTCACCCCCCAAATCGTTACTTGAACCCCCCCCAAATCGGGGATCTCACCCCCAAATCGGGGGTCTCACCCCCAAATCGGGGGTCTCACCCCCAAATCGCAACCCAAACCCCCTCAAATCGGGGGTCTCACCCCCAAATCGGGGGTCTCACCCCCAAATCGCGACCCGAACCCCCTCAAATCGGGGGTCTCACCCCCAAAT